ATAGTTGTCGGTGTATATACATGCACCGAAATTTATATTGTAAATACGGATGTATTTACCATATTTACAATGATTTCTATAAACGTCTGTTCGTCCCTTTAACTTGGTAATAGATTTGAGGCTCTAAAACTTGGTGGCCCTTGCAGAGCACTGACAGGCAAAGATCAAATACCCGCCTCTAAAAGATCTATATTGTCTATTGGAGCGAATTGCCTATATTATTATTATGAACGCGTATTGCATGTATACCTTCTATGTTTTGGCAGAATTACGCATCCCACTACTGGGTTGAAGAGGGCTGCCCCAAAGAGAAACTGTACATTGGACTGGCAACGTACGGACGATCGTTCACCCTGAGTGACAAGAGCGTCTCTGGTCGTGGAGCTCCGGCCATCGGTGCAGGAAATGCTGGCACGTACACCCAGGAGGCTGGCTTCTTGTCTTATTACGAGGTGACCAAATCTCTTCACTTCTCTCTTCTTTTTAAAGCGTTTCATCCCCCGTTGTTGTTTAGCGTTGAGGCGAGATGCAGTTCCCGTAGTCTTGATCTGCTTCCGTGTAAAATGTTCCTTCATCGCGCCTTTTTGTCTCAAAACTATCGTGTGAAATGTATAGAATGTAGTGATGTGGGTGTAAAATATGCATAATCTCGATGCGGGTGTAAACTATTCTAAATAATATAAATTACATATTATTGATCCTTAGTCTCTACAAATTGGTTCATCTTGAATTCTCGTCCACAACTTCCTTGTGAAATGTATCCATTCATCGTGCTTTCGCGTCTGTCCTGGTAAAATGTCTCTTCGTCGTGCCTTCTCGTCTCCAACTTTTAATCCAAACCTTTTACTTTGTTTACAAAGATTTCTAAAAATGTCTGTTAGTCCTTTTAACACGGTACTAGTTTTGCGGTGGTAAAACGTTTTGGCACTTACGTTACCAAAACCGAGCCGATAGTGCCGTAAAACCTACTCCATCGATCGTGATCCAAACCTGTGGGATATCCCCCGGGGCGGTACTACTGACTGAAGTGTTTTAGGGGGGGGGGGCATTAACCATGTTCTTATGCACAGTAAAATTGTAATTGTAAATTGGCTGATTTATCAACGCCATGCTCATAACTGTGTCTAAACTGCAACAGGGAACTGCTGCTTTTTCTTTCCTAATCCTTACTATCATTTTCCTCTAGATCTAGATCTACTTCTTTTGTATGTTTGTCACACTCTTGTGACCCACTATTTCCGGGGTGTCTTTATAGTCGAAACAGACTTTGTGCTGTTGAAGCAAGAGAGGTGAGCAGAGTAAGCCCGATTTCTTCTACTAAGGACTTCTCTGTTGACATCCACCCCATTAGCGCTCGTATGACATAATGCAGTTGCGAGCGCTGTAAAACCTCTACTAAAACTTTAAAAAACCTCTGGGCACCAGTAAAATGTTAAACATCTTCCCATGCCGCGTTCAAAAAGTATATTCCTCTCTGCAGGTGGTTGGTTGGAACTCTGGTGTGGTTTCCTCACTCTTTTCTTCCAACCCTCTATCGTCCTGAAAGCTTCTTTTTTTTTTTTTTTTTTTTTTTTTTACTCTCTTGTTGCCTTCAATTTCCGGCATTTACATGACATTATATTTCAAGCGCCGTATAAATGTTCCCGTCATTTTCAGGTGTGCGAAATGATCAATGCCGGCGCCAAGGTAGAGTTTCTGGAGGATCAGAGAGTTCCTTACCTTGTGCAGAATGACCAGTGGGTGGGCTTCGAGGACGAAACCAGTATCGCGGAAAAGGTGAGACCACGCACGCACACACGCACACACGCACACACGCACACACGCACACACGCATTATTAAGGTGGTCTATGTTGGACAGGTGGTTATTTAGATGTCCTATCTAGGTAAAATTTAGCAATTGAGTGGGTTGGTTGGCCGGTGCCCGTGTGGTTCGCTCATTTCCTATCAACGGTTCGTACTATCTCCCTGACTTTATCCCTTGTAACAACTGTTCTTCGGCACGTACGTATGACCTGTTTAGAGTTGCAAGTGCCGTGGACTTTAATCAATTTAAACTTTTACATTCCAAATAACATACCTAGTCAATACCACTAGTCGGATATATTGCTTGTTAAAGTTAAGTTCTGTTGGTCAAAAAAGCTGGTTTGGTTTACTTACAGTGTTGATAATGAAGCGAATATTTTGATAGCTCTGAGCTAATGACTTAGAATTGAGAGCCTTAATAAAGAGCCGCCGGAAACTTTAAAATGTAAGACCCTGTTATGATATTATAAGAAGCTTTGAATGTTCTGAAGTTGGAGGGGTAATGTTAAATAAGTATTCTGAAGTGAAACCCTTTTATTCAAAAATATATGCGTGAGATGAACATACAAAAGTATCCTTTTTCGTGATTGCTCCTTCCATTTTTTTCTGGGACTTTTTTCTGGTTCATGTTAGTTCTTGCTTGGATGAACTCACTATAAATTTGTCCTACCAACTTTCGGACGGACAATTGTCTTCGCCACTAAGAATGTTGAGCTAGATCTAGTAGTAACCAGCAAGAGCCACGGTCTCATATTTGTTTTCCATTTTCTTCCCCAGATTGCGTTCATTAAAGACAATGGTTTTGCTGGCGGCATGGTATGGGATTACGACTTGGATGATTTCAGTGGAGAATTTTGCGGCCAAGGACGATACCCGCTCATCAGTTTGATTAGCAAGTCTTTGTTGTAATCGTAACGCGACGCGTTACTGTTACAAGTATGCCGATTTCTTTCTAACAAAATAAACTATTGCACAAATGGTGACAATGACTCCCTGTTCCATTTTTTGAAAATCTTTTTGGCCAAATCTTTAGCCCTGATAAACAATATCAGGCATTGTATGTAGAAACGCTTAAAACACTCTTTACCCGATAGCAAAGTGGATCATTTAGGAAGGTGACTTTTGGCTTTGCCTTTTGAGGCCCAAGTAAAAAAGTTTAACAGAACAGTTGGCGTCTTGCAACTGTTGTACCAATCCCAAAACCAGGAAAAGATCACTCTTACCCGTTTTCGCAAAAATCACTCTATTATTGACCATCTCGTCCGACTTGAAACTTTCATTCGGGAAGAGCACATTGTGGCTATTTTTTCGACTTAGAAAAAGCCTTTGACACCACAGGGAAACATGGTGTTCTGAAAGACCTTAGACTTACGCGGAAATCTTCCTGAATTTATACGAAACTTTTTGAAAGATCAACAACTTCAAGTAAAAGTAGGTTCAATCCTATCAAATTTACACACCCAAGAAGAAGGTGTCCCCAGGGGAAGCATCTTATCACCCATACGTTTTAAAATCAAAATCAGTTCCATCGCAAAACCCCTTTAAAAACAATATTGACTGCTCACTTTACCTTTGACGACTTCCTGATCTGCTATAAATCAAAGTAAAAAAATAGACCACACTGAACGTCAGCTTCAGCTTCAACTCCAAAAACTGGAAAGTAGGGCAAACGTGCTCGGTTTTTAATTTTTTACAGCAAAAATGAACTGTGTCCATTTTTTGCCAGTCGCAAAAATGTGTGCGACAACCAGACCTATCTTTGTAGGGGGAGAAAATTCCTGAACAAAACAAAAAAACAAGCACGTTTCCTGGGCGTAATCTTCGACTACAAAACTTTCTTTCTTGCCACACTTGAAAGACCTAAAGACGAGGTGTCAGAGTGCTCTCAACGCCTTAAAAATATAATCCAATCCCGAATGGGGAGGTGATACTGAAATACTGTACTATAACTCTACCGGTCCCTTATCCGTTCCAGGCTGGACTAGATCTAGGGCAAGGCGAAGGCCTTTGTTCTGAACGGGGTCTAAAATTCCAAGGAAGGACTTCCTAGTTGATCCGTAAACAGGACTGGCATAGGATCTAGGCGTATTCAGTAATTTAACTGTAGAAAGTTTGCAGGCAGAAGCCCACGAACCATCTTTAGAACTTAGAAAAAAAACCCTCTTTGCTGTACACTTTGAAGCTTAGCTCAGTACCCCAAAACCCAGCCCACAAATGTGTCTTTGGCCTTCCCGGAGATCTAAAAACTAATTCTCCTTAGGAAATAAAGTAAGCCCTTTCGGAATAAGAATCCAAAAGGATCCCCAAGACATTGACTTTTCTTAAGGCATAATTGAAACGTTTCGTGTCAAGCATACCTCCATAGCATTTAACCAAACCAAACATAGATACAAGTGTTGAAAAATACAACAAAAAGTCAACAGACAAAACTACATACCTAAAATGATACAAATAGCTAATAAACAGATACCCTGAAGCAGAGAATTTTTACAGATAAAAAAATGACACTTCAGTAGAAGCTACTGCCCTTGCACAAGCATTAAGCTTAAGGAAACTCCATCCAGAAGCTTCAATCTACAGCTCTTGAAATGGCCTAAATATTATAGATAAACCTACCGAGTCTACTTTCCTAATCCTTTCAGACTGTCTTGTCTGAAATCTTTAGAGTGCTCTGACACCGACAACAGAATTTACTTATAATTTATCTGCATTTTTACACCAATCTGGAAAAACTTGTTACAATAGCTTTGGTTCCAAGCCATGTAGGCATTGAGGGCAACGAAGCCGTTGACCACTTTGCCAAAGAATCTCTAAAACTACCTAAAAACAAAAAGTAGAAATCGTTGTTACCACAGGCAAGGACAAAGGCCAGGTATTCTTTCAACACCCGTGGAATTGGATGACAGTGACAGAAGTGATTGGTTAGTTTAGTTTTAGTAAGAGTTTTATGGCACTTGCAACACAATAAGGTCATATAAGTGCGGAAGATTAGGTGTCTCAAGATAGTAACAAACATAAAAAAGAAGGAGGAGAGATCAGGACGAAAGATGTTCGATAGAAAGGAAGGATCAAACCACACCAGAGCAGCCGCCAACCACCCACTAAGTGATTGGTTAGAGCATAGTATAAAACTTGAAGACGACAGAGACAAGTACACATGTATACCACAAGAAGGTTGTTGTTGTTGTGTGTGTGTGTGTGTGGTAGCCTATCCGTTCGAAATGTTCGGAGCCCCGAAGAGTGTGCTCTTCGCCAGGGCCACCGCCTCCCTTGGGTAGCGGGTGAGGCAAACTCACGTTGTTGTTGTTGTTGTTGTTGTTGTTGTTGTTGTTGTTGTTATCGATCCAGCAACAGCTGGGCTCTCGCCCTTCTGTCCAATGCCATGTAGTGATAAATGCAGGTTTGTTCCATAGAGAGTGTTGTCAATGTTAGGTCTCGGAGGGAGAAGGGTAGCTCTGATGTTATTTAGGGCTGTGCAGTGGAACAGGTGATGCTCCAGTCTCATATGCATAGTCACACAAGGGACACATTGGGGGAAGTTCCGGATTTATTCTGTTCAGGTGAAAGTATAATTATGTTCTGTTCGTAGGCGGAAGATCGTGGTCTGTTTCTTTCTCTGAAGGCGGTTGATATTGCCATTCCTTTTTGTTGTGGTCATATGTTTGAAAACTGCTCTGCCTGTCTTTCCCATGGCCCATCTGTTCATCCAATCTTGTTTGTTGTTGCTTTTGATGATTTGTTTTGCAGTGTTGTATGAAGTTGGAGTGTTGGGTTGTTCCTGTCTAGATCTCTGTTTGGCAAGTGTGTCTGCTCTGTCATTTCCAGGTATGTCTGAGTGTCCAGGGACCCACTGCATTACTAGGTTGATGCCACAGGATGTTATCAGATGATGGGATCCAATATGGGTCAAATCTTGGTTTAGATTATGGTCATTTTCTATGGCTTGTAATACTGATAGTGAGTCAGTGAAAATTACAACACTCTTTGCTTTTCCTGGATGAGTGTCAAAAACTGTGCGGAGATGGTACAGTGCTGTTTCAATTGCCATCATTTCTGCATCGTAGTTGCTGCATTTCTCTCCACAGGCTGCAGAGATCTCATTGGAACTTCCATCTGGGTACTGTATTAGTATTCAATATCCGTCTCTGGTTGTGCCTTTGAATGCTGAGCCGTCCGTATAGACGTGCATCCATCATCTGAATAGCTGTCGATTGTTTGATGTGATGCAAGCATCAGCATCACTGGGTCTGAAGATTTTGTGCTCTTGTCTTTGAGAGGTGTTGTATTGATTGGCTTTTTAAAAGAAAGATGGGGAGGGATGTTTTGGTTGACTCTTTCGGTTTCTTTTCTGTTCTGTGGTAGATGGTGGCTCTCCATTAGTTCTGTGATGTGATGCATGATTGACTTTGTTGAATTCGTTTCTTTGGTTTCCATGTTTCTACTAATTTCCTGTTTGGGTGGTTGGGGCACATTCTTTTAGTTCTTTCATGTAGCTCCAAAACTGCTTTATCTCTGCGGGTTCCCAGGGGTTCAACGTTTGACAGAATTTCACATGCGGCGGTAGGTGTGGATCTCATACCACCATTTATAAAACGAAGGGCATTGCTTTGGACCTTTTCAAGGGTGTTTCAAGTAGTTGTTCTGCACATAGTGAGTAGGCTATTGGTGTATTTCAGGGAAGATCGGACATAACCCAGGTATAGAGCTCTCAGAGTTTGTTTGATCCCCATGAACTGCTTGCGAGTTTCTTTAAAAGTTGGAGTCTTTTTTTTTGCTTTGTTCCTTATGTTTTCCACTTGGCTTTTCATAGTTAGCCTATGGTCAAGTTTGACTCCTAGGTAAGTTGGATGTTCTTCTTTGGGGAGACTTTCATTTCCTATCTTTAGTTTGAGATTTTCTTTGGCTGCTTTATGGCTCTTCGTGAAGATGGTGTATACTGTTTTCGTGCAGTTTATTTTAAGTTTCCATTTCTGACAGTAATTATGGAGCCTCTTGTGGTCTTCATTTAATTTCCCTGCTCCTACTATCATGCTGTGATGTGTCTGCCAGAGAGCAAGATCATCGGCATAAGGAGTCTTTTCTGATTTTAGCACGTTCGTTACATCATTAAAGAAGATCAGGAACAAAGTGCAACTCAGGCAGGAACTTTGAGGTAGGCCTTCCTCGATGACTTCTCTTGACGAGTGGGCATTGTTTACCTTGGTTTCAACGTTTCGATCCGACAGAAAGAACTTGATCCATTTGTAAAGTTTGCCATGTATCCCAAGGTCCATCAATTTCATGAGTAGGCCTTTTCTCCACACTCTGTCGTACGCCTGTTGGAGATCTACAAAGATGGCGACGGTGTGTTTACTCTCCTGAAATCCATCCTGGATGTTTTGGCTCAGTTTAAAAAGTTGATCTTCTGTGTTGCTGCCTTTTCTGAAACCTGCTTGGTGTAGGTTTAAGCTGTTAGTATTTTCCAGGTACCAGTAGAGGCGGTTGTTTATCATTCTTTCCGCAAGCTTACCGATACATGATGTTAATGAGATGGGTCGGTAGCTTTTCGCTTCTCCAGGTGGTTTCCCATTTTTCAGGAGCGGTGTAATCTGGGCGATCCTCCATGCCTTTGGTATTCCACTCGTTCTCCACGTGGTATTTATAAGGGAAAAAAGAACTTCTTTTCCTTTAGCACCAAGGTTGCACAGCATTTCGTTGTGTATTTTATCTGGTCCTGGGGTTTTCTTTTCCTTTAGCTTTTTGAGGGCCTGGCTGAGTTCCATCATGCTATAATCCTCTTAAAAAAGCGAGTTATTCACAGTAGGAGATTTGTCTTTATGCTTAGCCCTATTTATGAGAAGTCTATCAGCCTCGGTTAGTCTGCCTGCCCTGTTTACAGAGGCGAAAAAACGGTTAAAATGTTCGGTTTTCTTCTGGTCTTCAGTGATGGTGCTGCCTGAAAGGAAAAAGGGTTTGGGGTTGCTTTTTTGCCTTTCTCCCGAGAGGTTGCTGACAAGGGACCAAGCCTTTGTTCCATTGTGGCGGAGGTCAAGATCTTTGCAGGTTTGAGTCCATTTTTCTTTTTTTGGCTTTTTTTACTGTCATTTTCACCTGAGCGCAGGTCTTATTGTTGTGTATTTTGTTTATTGTTGATGGTGATTTTTACAATGACAGGCTTTCTCTCTTTCTGCCACAGCAGTTTGGATTTCTTCACTCCAAAAGGGTTTGAAATTTCTTCGGCATCCCGGTTGTTCATTAAAAAGA